TTTGACACCCCTCCTCACCTCTTACCCGTGCGCCCGCCGAGTCGAGGATAGGCAAACCCGCAACACGGCGACGCGTGCTCTGAATCACCCGGTAGACGTCGGCGCGCGGAGCTGTCACTGCCAGCCTCGCTGACCGCTCGCGACCGCGGCGGCGGATGTTCTTCGGCCGGCTCCCTGACGTGGCCCGGAGTCTTGTCGGCGATACTCCGCGCGATGTACGCTCATTGATCGGACGGGGGAGGGGAGGGTGTCACGAGGGTGAGGGCGGCCGCGATACCCCGCGCGTCGGAGGCTTCACCTCGGCAACCGCGGTTCACCCTCTCGCGTCGCGTCAGCTGCGCGCGGGGCGGCTGCGGCGGCGGGCTGGTGGCGCGACGCGGCGGGGTTGCGAAACGACGCACCACCACCCCACATCCGTGACACGCACACCAAAAGACAATTTCAGCACTGCGGCCAAGGGAAGAAAAACAATTTCCCCGCACCACCACCCACCACCACCACATCGCCACTACCTTTTCACCATTTTCACCCGGTGGCTTGGCTTGTGACCCGTGTCAGGGCCGGCGGCGGAATCTGCTGAGGTCCGAGGTCCGAGGGAAAGGGTTCCTCTACACGGCGGGGGCGTGCGAAGCGAGGGTGCGATATTAGCCCACCCCTTCCCCTCTTCAACACCGTTACACCAGTTCCGACCCCCGTTAGGGGGGCCATCCCGGAGGTCAGCACTGCGCCATAAACTGGTGGTGCTGCTGCTGCTGGCGGTGCAGACTCCAGCTGATTTCATCTCGGCGCTCACATCGCAACCAACCCCTCTCGTGCGCGGTGGTGTGTCGGCGGGGGAGGAGAAGGAAGAGGGAGAGAGAGAGAGGGAGGGAGAGGGAGAGAGCAGGAGCGGCGGTGTTGTCACGTAGATGCGGAGGCAGGCGCAGACCAAGCACCCTCTCGTGCTCCACGAGCTCCACGGCTGCGGAACAAACCCCCCGCGAGAGCCTCGCGCGCCGCGCCGTACCGTAGGAGGGAGGGGAGGGGAGAGTGTGAGTGACCTTTAAAGGGTCCGTCCCCTCCGGACGGCACCCCCCTGGCCCGCGGGCGATCCCTGCATGTGCGCGTCGTGGCGACGACGGTATCTTCGGTGGAGAAAAATGCAAGTTGTAAAAGTTGTTGAACAGGCTGGGCCCGGCGTTGCCGACCCTCCGCGCCGCCGCGGCGGGGCGATACCAACCCCTGCAGCTGCTGAGCGCGGATTTACATCCATTTCCCTTCCCCCTCTCGTTCGACCACATCACCTGAGAGGAAGGAAGCAGGGGAGGAGGGAGGGGTGGAGGGAGGGTTGACGGGCAGGAATTGGTCACGGCAGCGTTGCCGCGCTCGTGCACACGCGAGTTGGTCCGCGCGAGTTACGCCTAGTGGCGTCGGCGTCCCTTTCTTACAGCGAATATAAATACATATTACCGCGCTTCCTAGGAGTGCTCTTTCATAACAGGCGCCTTTTGTTGTCGCACGTGCGAATCGTCACTTTGGCAACACTGCGAGGTCCTCACCTCAAAGACCCTCGTTGTGACGTGCGAGCGCCCGGGACCGGGAGCGGCGCGGGAGAGGCTGGGCGGGCCCCGGGCGGGCCCCGGGCGGACTCACCTCACCTGGGGACGACCCTCGTCCCTGCCGCACCACCGCACACAGAGCAAATGAAAACGACCGCGTTTCACTCGAAAGGTCTGGTGGGATTCTCGATGTGTGTCCTCGTCCGTCCTCTCGGAGACTTTTCTCCCGAAACGCCCGACGCAACGCCCCTTCTCCTCTCCGGCCGCCAGTCTCGGGGAATTCGGGCCACGCCAACAGCCCCCCAGCGATCCGCAGGGGGGCAGAAAGGCGCGCTGCTCGGCCAGGAGGGGTGAGACCAGAGGAGGGTGGGGCTGGGAGCGTGAGAGGGCGAGAGCAAGAGAGAGAGAGGAAGAGGAAGGAGGAGACGGGAGAGAGAAAGGGGGCGGCGGAGCGCTGCGAAAACCAAAATACGCAGTGCAGTACTTGGTTCGAAGCGCCCCCGTGGCGAGAGCGGCGCGGCGTGGCGGTGCGTGGCGGCCGAGCGTGGGGGTGGTGAGCGAGGTGCGGTGAGGGGGAGTGGCAGGGGGGGGGGAGAAGGATTAGTTTCTCTGTCATGGTCACGACCCGTGTGCCGTAGCAGCAGCGGCGCTCGGCTCGGGTCTCCGGGTAAAGTGCGTTTTGGTCCCTTTTCCTTCCTCGTTGCTGAAGCCTGGGCTGGAGCTGGAGAGAGAGGCCGGAGTGCGCCCCGCCCCGCCCCGCCGCGCCTGCCGCGCCCAGCCGGCCCGATGTGCGGGGGGCCTCGGGCGTCTCATCCGGCCTCGCCACCAAAGGGGCTTTAGCTCTAACCGTGCCAAACTTTTCATCTGCGGAGTTACTGTTGCGGCAGCTCCGGGAGTGTTCGGGCCGGGTCGTTCCGCAGCACGGCCGCAGGTTCGACACCCGCCCGGGGCGTGCTCTGCGGTAATCGAATAATTTCTTTACGGGGGCGTCTGAAAAGGGGATTGTAAAACTCGGGAAGTGTCGGGGAGAGGGGTTCTGGGTTCTGGTTGGGGTGCGTGGGGGAGCCTGCCCGCCTGCTGTCTGGAGGAAAAGAATAAAAAGAAGACCCCTTCCCCTTTCCCCTCGGGCCCGCGCCTGGGCGGATAGAAGGGGAGGGAAGGGAAGGGAAGTGCGCGCCCCGGCCCAGCGGCCCCGGCCCGGTGCTGCTGCGGTGGCGGCGGCGGCGGCGGCGAGCGAACAGTTGAGCAGCGCGCTCCCTCCCCCTCCCCGCTCCCCACTCCACTCCGCGCCGCCCC